AATCTATTACCAGGCCCGTGCGATTCTGAGCCTGGCTCAAGCCGTCTGCTCGGGGAGCTGGCTGTGTGTGGTGGGGAGAGGAGGGGCTGCCGAGGGCTGGTGACATTGGCGGCTGATCCCCGGCGTGCCCAGGGGAATCCTCCTGGGCAGCAGCCCCTGCACTCGGTGTAGGGGAGCAGAAGGGCTACGACGCTGGAGCGGGAATTAAGGTCGGGCTCTAATTTTGAGCGTTGCTTTAAAAGTTAGCGTGAAGTTAGTGCTTCACCTCTTCAAAAAAACTTAAAAAAAAAATTGTTCCAAGGACTGCGAAGGGAAGTTTTACTTCCTGGACTTGATAGGTGACAGACCAAGCAGTGCCCTAAAAAACCTTTTGTTCTGCTCCTCCCTTCTCCTGAAAGATTAGACAGAGGGAAATCTTGGCTGCAAGTCCATACGGAGGCTTCTGCCTCCGGGGCAGCAGGAGGGAATGGGCGGGGGCCGGCGGCAGCCTCCCCAGGAGGCGCCAGCAGCCCGCCTCCTCCCCGGGGTCCGGAGGCTTTGCCAGCCCCGTCCCTCGGGCAGCCGCGGGGACAGAGGCCCGAGCAGTTTCTGTGACTGGAGAGAGGAGCCTTTGAGAGGGGGTGTCTCTCCAGCCGGGCGGGACTGCTTCATCCCCGAGGAGTATCCAGCAGGACGCATATCGCGAGCTGCAGAAACAGCGTGCCCACCCACAACCCGGCGTCCAGAAGACACTGGAGAGGTGGGACGGGACCCTTAGAACTTCTAAAGGTCCTCACCTCCTTAGCCTCGGGCTGGCGCTAGGGTGGAGGTGTGAAGGGGGCTGAATTCCCTGCCTTTCTGGCCGAAAAAAATAAGCCTGTGAACAGAAGGGGTCGTTTTAAAAGCACTGGCGGGGTTGAAGTTCCTCCAGCCAAGGAGAAAGTCTCGTCCAGCAGTACCTGCCCGAGCCTCCCATCCCCATCCCGCTGGTGGCTGCCTGCCCTCCCTGCCTGCCCTTGCTGCCTCGGCCCAACCCCTGCCAGCCCAGAGGTTAAAGACCCGGCCGCAGCGGCAAAGCAGGTCCCCGGTGTATGTGGGCATGAAAGGTCACCGCTTAGCCTGGAAATCCTCCTCTCGGCAGCCTTTGCCATCACTTGCACAATTTTCCCTCCTCTCAATGTTTTCCTTAGGGAAACCTGGTGTACTTGGCCTGACAGCATCCTGGAGAGCGGGGTACGCGCAGAGACGCACTGACAAACACCCACGCATCCCAGGCGCAACAGCATCCCACTCCTTCCTCCAAGGGACGAGGACGTGATCACCACTATCCGTCTCCCTTCCCCGTCGGGGTCTGCCCAGGAGCCCCCTGGCGCGTGCCATGGGCTTGATCTCGCCGCTGAGTGGGAACGACAGGCTGCTCGGCTCGGGCCTTGCTCCTGCCTCTGGGCGCTTTTCAGCAACTTTGGAGGAAAACGGTGATGTCTCCCGCTTTCCTACTGCTCCCCATCCCTTCCCCAGGTGGCTTTTCCTTTACAAGCCATGATAGCTTAGAAGTAGCTAGAATAAGTCATATAGCTTTAAAAAATAATAATAAAAAAAAGAATAAATATATATGAAGTATGGTTTGTCGATTCTGATACAATGATGTCGATAAATAAGGGGAATCCAAGCCCAGTTTCAAGTTACATCCTCTTCAGAGATGAAGTTGCATTCCGATACCCCAGGGGATGCAGTAATGGATGGAGACCTGGCTCCCCCTCGCACAAGTAATTGGCAGTCGTTCCCTCCTTCCTCCTGGACTGGCTGGGGAGCTAGGAAAGGGCTTATGAAGACAGATGTGGACTTCACCTGGGGTTGTGGCGTGTGCCCTGTGTGTATGTGCATTCGAGTGTGTGTGTGTGCCTGTCTGCGCGTTTGCCTGCGTGCCATTTCGGCTGTGTTTATGCGCATAAATAAGAAGCGTTCAGGAGAAACAGAACAATTCCGTTGCACTCCCAGGCTGTCACATCCCTGATCCAAATATCCTGCTGCCTCTCCCCGCGGCTTGCCTGCCCGCAGCCCTGCCGGAACAAACAACGTAGCATCTGGTCAGTCACCGAGGGACGGCTCCAGCGTGCCCCAGGGGACAGGATTCACCTTGGGCCGTTCGATAAGAATCCACATTAATCTCGCAGGCACAGTAGCAGATTCACTGCTTCCACAGTTTTGCCTCCAACTCCATAAACAACTCCAAGAAAAAATTGAATCTACTCTAAAACGGAACATAATAGTGCACTATTAACCCTGGTGTGAACCCTTAAATGGTTCAAACGCAAGAGTATTCAAAGAATAAACCACTGAAACGGGAGGGAGAGGAGAGAAGAGAGAAAAATGCAGAGAAAGATATGAAGGAACGAAGGGAGGGAGAAAGGGAGAGAGAAAGGAAGAGAGAAAGGAAGAGAGAAAGGAAGAGAGAAAGGAAGAGAGAGAGAGAGAAAGAGTGAAAGAGTGAAAGAAAGAAAGAAAAAAGAAAAAAGAAAAA